ATTGGTGAGAAATGTCAAAATAATTTTATTTTCATCAACACATTGAATTCTACCCTGAGATGTAGTTATGCAGTACATTATTCATTCCTGTTCAAGAATATTTCCATTTAAATTTCCTAAATGCCTTAGACAGTAGCATCATCAAGCCAGTCACGGCTAATCCCAGAAACTAAGCAACATGAGGCGACGGAGGTGGGGGAGGGGATAAATTTGGGAATACCCGAAATGAAAGGTGAATTGGGAAGTTGAGAAATATCCTGGAAAAGGCAATTGGTCACAACTGTAACCTTTACCCAATAATAGCTGGGCTTGAGGATGTCTTTACCTTTAAAAAAAATGACTTCACTTAAGACCTCAGTCTGCATTCTGAATGGATTCAGATGGATTTTCAGAATTCCAAGATAAAACTATCTTACTCTGATATTATTATAATACCATCTAGCCTGGTATTATTAGAATTGGCTGGTATAATAGACATAGTGCAACAAGCAATGGAATGTTTTAATTACAGTTGAATAAGCTGGTTTTTTCTATTTCATATAAATGCTAATTATAATTTCTAAGCTTAGTTTCCAAACCACTAGAACTGAATTCACATGATACACTAAATTCAAGTCAAACAAATCACTTAGCACAACGTGTGAGATCAGACATTGTCTTGTTGTGGAACTTTCAAGGTTCTGACATACAGAGACAGAGATAAATAAAGTAGAACCCCAAGGCTTGCAAATTCCTCAAAAGTGAAACCAAGTCTGGAGACACGCGAAACAATTCCCCAATACAAAGTTAAAAAATCCCACCCATAGAACTATGCAAGCAATTACGTTCTCCAATACATATTCTCGATCGGCTTTTTACGCAACGCCAAGCCTGCAGTCCCGAGAGCAGCCGATGACCTTGGGACAAAATATTTTGACTAGTGAAGCACCTGGGCAACCCCCCTCCCTCTGTTCTGTGTGGCAACCGAAAATGAGTAGGAAAAATGGCTTCAGCCATGCTCATTTGTAGAGTTGACAGGACTATATAACTCTATCTTTAGAGTGTTCTGAGGATACCAGTTCTAGAAAGCTGATTGATATAACTGAATTGTGGTCTCTATTAGTAGTATGAATTCTGTGCAACTTCACACTGTTTGTCTTTTAAATAAGCAATGAGATAACCTTATAGCTCCACAAATCAGTCCAGGTAAGTAGCTTTAAAATAGTTAAGATCAGATACCATGTTGGAGAACAGTGACATAAAGTGCATTTTTAGCGTTTATTTAATATTCTCTAAAGTTCTGGATATCCCACAGAGTGAGAGATACTATTTCCTTCCTTCCTTCCTTCCTTCCTTCCTTCCTTCCTTCCTTCCTTCCTTCCTTCCTTCTTTCCTTCCTTCCTTCCTTCCTCCCTCCCTCCCTCCCTCCCTCCCTCCCTTCCTTTTTTCTTCTATCTATCTTTCTTTCTTTCTTTTACATTATAGTATCGAGAATGGGTTGAAGTTGTATACACTTTTATTAAAGTTAAACAGTGCATGGATAAGAAACCATTTGAGAACTATATGAACAAACAGGGATTTAACTGAAATAAATAAAGCAACTAGAGAAAACTATTTCTGAAGTTGTCCAGCTAAAGAAACTATTTATCCTTGTAAACAAAACAAAGACTTTATCAATTATAACATATTCATAGTACCCTCAGACTTTTTTTTTAAACAAATTTTATTGGTTTTTTAAATTCTTAAGGCAACATATTCAGGACACACCGTGGTGCTGGGGTAATCAAACATCTTTAAACAAGACATATATACATAATATAATCAATACATCAAATATTCCCTCTCTTTTTCCCTCAAATAGCATAGTATATTTGGAATATCCAATTCTAGCTTAAATTTATTCAACCTGAACCTGTTTTCAAGCTTCATCAATTTCTAGCATAATCAAATTAACTTTAAATAAAAACATTTTCAATTCAAATATCCCTCCCACATATATTCTACTTTCTTAATTTTATCAAAATCTTATTTATTTCTTCTTCCATTAATCTCCCTTATTTAGAGTAAAATATTAATCTATCCTGTACCTATCAAATCTATCAATTAATCTAACTCTTCAAGTTAAGAAAAATAATATCATACCTAAAATCATATCATTTCATTAAACAAAATTCAAATCTCCAATTAAATATCATGACTAATAACATCCATATCATCAGAAAATCATATCATCTTATTACATTTCAATTAACTATTAGTTCACTTCAAATCTGAGACATCTCTTCAATTTTTGTCATTCCATTACATCATAATTTTCATAGAAATAAACCTAACATTCTAAAAAGAACATTCCTAGTATTCTAATTTGTATTTAATCCCTTATATAGAAAGATATCTCATTTTTAAACAAAAATATTAATCTATCCTAAACACTTCTAAATATATGTATTTATCAAACTATTCTATAGATATCTAATCCTTCACTTGATCAATCTCTTTAAGTTAACAAATTAATATCAAACCTTACATCCTACCTCCTACCTCAGATGTCAACATCACCCCTTGGATCCAAACACAAGTTAACAACCCAGAATTGACATGAATCTAAGAAAATTTTGGCCATCTACAGTCTGTCCATTTTCTTGTTATATAGAAAACTAAGGTTAGCCTTCCTGAGAAATTGATTGGTCTGGCCTAACCAATGGGACTAACATCAGGTTTGCAAGTCTGATTGTGTTTTACTTCCTTCTCCTTATAGTTGAATTCAGTGAATTGTGCCCAAGTATTATCTGGTAGTTTTGGATTTGGAAAATCCATCATCCTGGCAAGAGAGCTTATGCATCTCTGTGAAGGTCATCTTCCTGACTTTAGAGACACAGAACCCCTCACACATGGTCAGATACCTTCTGTATTCAGCAATCAATGTAAATTTTAGACTGATAATTATCGGTGGACACACTGCATTTCACTGTGCTGCCTGGAAGGCAATCTCGGGAGAATCTGCCATCTCAGACAATTTTCAATAAGCCCTATTTCATAAATCTCACACTGGATGTGAAATCAGTATGTCATTTTCTATTCCCCCCCCCCCTTCCTTTCAATCAGATCTGATTTTTGGAGACTGCCTAGATAAGTCCTTGCAATTTCTTTGGTGAAGTTTTTCAGAAATTTTTGCCGGTTTAACTGCTACACCAAACTGGCTGTCTTTCTTATCAATGCATATTATAATAGATTTAGAACATAGGCTGCAGATTGCTCCCTCTTAAGGCCTAATTAGAACCACTTTGGTGTAGTGATTTGGTGTAATGGGAGACTCTGAGTTCTAATCCAGATTTAGGCATAAATCTAGCTGGATGACCTTGGGCCTATCCAGTTACTTTCTCTGAGCCCTAGGAGGGTAGCAAAGGCAAACCACTTCTGAAAAACCTTGTCAAGAAAGCTATAGGGACCGACCATGCAGTTTCTAAAAATTGGGTGCAATTGAATTCAGAATGAAAGAAAAAGACGTAATTGCCTTGGGCATACAGATTGAAGGAAACCTTTTTATGCCTCTCATTGACGCTTGCTTACCTTTCATTTAGTATGATTCACAATAAAGTCTGAAATAATTGCAAGAGAGTGATATTCACATTACATTATTTTCTTTGGTTCACTTTCAAATATTCATCATAGCCCTTTCTGCATGTTAAATTACAGTTTTAATTGTAATAATGAAAAAACCTATTGTTGGGAAAAACGCTATGAATTTAAATGTATTTTAGAAGGAAAGTGAAGAACAAGATTTTAAAAAAATTACATATACTTGTGCCCCCTCATGTGTCGAAATTGTGAACAGCAGAGATAATAAATGCAGCTGGTGTCTTGTGTAGCTAATAGAGCTCAGAAAATGCTGTGTCAAAATCTACACTGCAATTTCTTAGAAGGGTTGCTTTATTTTTTAAAAGATATATCTGTTTTCTACCTTATTTTCACTATGCATAGAAATTCTTTGGAATTTCTCTTGGAGATGTTTTTGAACATATTATTTAAAGTGGTAGAAGGACCATTCCTATTGTTATATTCTGCTTTACAGATTTCCCCAACAGCCTGAAGCTTCATGATATGTTAATTGAACTCTGGGACTACTGGAGAGATGGCTGTATATTAAAGGATACACTACCCAAAAGTATTTGAGATGTTGGATTAGGAATAGGAAAACCTAAGAGTCCATTCTTAGCCATGACCACTTAATTATTGTTTCTCTGCCGAATCTACTTCATAGGGTTGCCATTGCCATTGAGAGACCAAAGTGAAGTAAAGCTATGTAAGGACTTTGGGGAAAGATGGGGATAAATCTAGCAAACAAATAACTCAATAAATAAATAGATAGATAAATAAATAGAAAGAGATTCAGTTTTGTCTAGTGGTTGAAGGACCAGGCTAGAAACTAGGAGACCATGAGTTCTAATCCAGCCATGTATTAGCGATGAAAGCTAGCCGGATGACATTGGCCCAATCAATCTCTCTTAACCCAGTTCACCTCACAGGGTTATTGTTGTTAGGAAAATAGGAGGAAGAAGGAGTATTAGATATGTTCACTGCCTTGAGTTGTTTACAAAAAAATAAAGGTGGGATATTAAATAAATGCAAGATGATGACATAACCCAAGTATTGTCCATTAAAAACCACGAAGAACAGATTATCTTTTATTAGATTGAATGCAAGGGAATTTCTCAGGAGAATTTCTCAGAAATAACATCAAAAATTTAACTCATTTGAACCCTTAGTGTAATTTGAATTGAATTGGAACTATTTTGCTTTTAAATTTGGGAAGCTGTTGAGTTACATACATAAGCCAAACTATCAGAATGAGAATTAAGAAGCTCATCCAAGCATAAAAAAAGCAAAGCTATCTTCTCAAAGTAAAACAGAACAGAGTGGCTGAGAATTATTTATCAGTTGTTCCAGAATAACTTCCAGCTTGCTGAGTTTAGTTTTCTTTGCTGAAGTAATTTTACTTGCATTTTCTTTTCTGCCGGTAGGTATGTCGAGAGTATCAGCGTGGCAACTGTAACAGAGGAGAAAATGATTGCCGGTTTGCTCACCCTGCTGACAGTGCAATGATTGATACCAACGACAATACTGTTACTGTCTGTATGGATTACATCAAAGGGAGATGTTCAAGGGAAAAGTGCAAATATTTTCACCCTCCAGCCCATCTGCAAGCTAAGATCAAAGCTGCCCAGTACCAGGTCAATCAAGCAGCAGCTGCTCAGGCAGCAGCTACTGCAGCAGCCATGGTAAGTCCAGAAAAACAAATCAAATATATCTATCTCATTGCCAGCCACTGAGCACTGTTAATGAATTGAACCTCCCTACTAAAGATAGGACGGTTTGAGTATCCCATTCCACTTCACTAAGCTGACAAGCATGTGATGCCAAGTCTGCTCTTACATAGTGCCAGATTCTACTAAAACATGTAGTCAGTTTGTCTATGTGTATATTGTGCATAGATGTACATGCCAGATGTACATATTAGCTTTGTGCCTATATTACATAGTGAGAAGCAGTAATTTATTGTGGGTCACCTGTACATCAATATTATTGATATGCATGCATATAAACCCTGACTGGCAAGTTTTTACATCATCTCCTACATAAAAATTACACAAGGAACTGATGCGTTCTTCAGTAGATCCCATGATCTGTCATTTTATGTACTCCATTTCCATCTGCAAAGAACTATACCATCAGAGAGGTGCAAATTTTTGTATAATTGATCTTATAGCTGGAAGTCCAGTTGCCTCGTGAAAAAGCATCTTTGGGAGAATTGATCTTATACTGTCTTATCTTTACTTCTGTTTTCCTTGGAAGAGATTTTCCCTCTCCTAGAATTCATTTTGTGCATTCATTTGCACAGAGTTGCCTTGAGGTGAGATGGGCAGCAAACACATTTAATAAACAAATGAATTTGCTTAGTGAATAGCTTAGATTACATTTAGCTAGCAGCAACTCAAAATAAGTGTTTAATGATTCTGGACATAGCTACAGTTTGCAAACTTATTTTAGAGATGACTTATTCTTTTCTGTCGACATTTATTATGTATAAAGTGATTTGCAGCAACACATGTCCAAAATTTACATATACCAAACAAAACCTCATTCTTGTTTCATATGGGAGGACACAGTGTTAGTGATCTAGCTCTTTGAAATTGAACACTAAGTATGCATTTGAGAATATATCCTGACAAACATGTCTAAGCTCATTTTCTTACGCGTTTACCAGTCTCAGTTTAAAGGCAAAGAAATTTATTTTTTTTCTTCATTGGAAAAGAAAATGTTGATAGAATTCTCACATGGGATATTCTTGCACTTACTTAGTTTTGAGGTGGCCATGGAATATGTTTGAATATCTGCCTTTCAGTGCAGTCACATGTTGTAAATGCACAGTTTACCTGGATCTCACCCTTCGGTAAAATCCCAAGGACAGACATGACAGAAATCATTCCACGAGGCATTTTCAGACCCAAGAAACACGAGAGCCTGGGAGACTAGTGCTTTATAAAAATATTTAAAAGGAAGACAAATAATACTTTCCCACTACCTCCTAATAATAAAGCATGGTCAAAAATACCAACAGAAGAATTTCTAAAGAAATTCTGAATCTTTTGAAGATACAAGTGGAAAAGAGAGGACATTTTAGGAATTGGAAGATGGATTTCTACTTGGATTGTGAGCAATAACTTTAATAAACATAATTGAAAGGGGTGGATTGAGGGCAGGTTATGGAAATATTTAAGAACACGCATTTCTAGCAATGGGACTATAAAGTAACTTGAATAAAATCATGTGTATTGTGCTTCTCTGAATTCAGCTATTATAATTAATAACTATTATTATACTATTACAATACTATAATTATTACAATACAATTACTGGAATTTTGATTGTGACATGGATCAGCACAATCACATTACTGGGAGAAATTAGACAATGAACCATTTGCCTAAACTGTGATTTCTAGTGGGGGATAAAAGAAAACCCTGTTTAAATGGTTCCACTTTTACTCTTTGGACGGCTGCTAACGTTAGGTGATACTCCTAGTTTCTAGCTCTTAGCCAGCATTGGCTGATAGAAAACACCAATCTGGTTAGTATTTGGATGGCACATTACTAAGAAATCATAGGACTATAGGCTGAAGTTGAAAAAATACCTGAGGAGAAGGCCTACTTCTAAATTCTTGTCAGGTAAATGATATGAAGTAACCAGAAGCCACACCCAGCTTAAAGAAATTGCCTTTACTTTAACATTATCCTATATTTCTTTTTATATAATTATATGATTTGACCATTAAATATTCCCATGAAACATTGTGGTGCAATATTTGCAGTGCAGAAAGGGACTACAGGAGAGAGACCTTTTTCTGTGTTTATGAAGATTAGCACAAAAATACAGAAAGGAGACTCTTTCTCACTCTTATTCCTTCTTTCAACCTTCCCTTCCCCATTAGAGTATCTTGTTTGTACTTAACTACATAGAGGTGTATCCTCACAATAACAACTCAATAGTGCCTTTATTGTGCATGCTTAGTCTTGTTATTCGTTGTATATGGCATTCCGATGATTTGTTTTTTATTTGTTTTTTTTCTCACCTACCCAAAATGCACTGCTGCCCCCATGATGCACCTCTGCTTGCTGTTTATGTTAATGCGCTTGAACCCCACTGGCCCATTGCCATCATGTGCTCGCTGCCTGCTAATTAAGACTCAGTCGGCTGTCAAATCACTGAAGCGACCCCTCGAGGCAACCTTTGACCTGGTACTATGACCTTTCACCTTTTAGCTTGGCATGTAGCTTTACTGTAGATACAAATTATTTTTTAATTAAATTCTTAAGTAATTTTTCCTTATTTCCTGTTATAAAGTATTGTGAGCTCAAATTAAAACTGAGTGTGGTTTCCTTGTTGGGTTTGTGGGAAGGTGATGGAAAGAATGTTTATTTGCCATCCTGAACCCTCCTGAAGATGGAGGATTCTACATTCAGTTTAATCACCTTGTAGACATTTCTAAATCTAGTAAGATTTTTTTAAAGGATTTTTTTTAAAATGTGTAAAATATATATGATCTATATATTTGTATCTGTTTGGTTGGCATGGCTTAACAATATTCTTATGTAGATTTAACATTTGTAATGCAAGTGCCAGCATGATTTGGTACTTTGTTTTGTTTTGTTTTTGCATGTTTAGATAGACTTGGGGATATGGGAGTAAAGTTTAATATTATATTAATCTTTTCTCATTCACTCTATAAAATTTCTCTTTAACATGGCTTTTACTTATCAATCCTCATGGAGCTAGCAGTGCAGCTTTTTTTTTTTCCTCCCTGGTATTCCTGCTTCTTTACTAAAACCTGAACCTTTTTATAGTGAAAAAGTGCTAGTTTATTGTTCCCAATGCCATATTGAAAGGACAGTAAGAAACCTTTCGTGCAAAGCTTCGGCTTTGCTCTTTCTTTGAATTGTAAAGTCTGCTCTGCTGCTTGCTTGCTCAAGGATGTAAAAAAAAAAGATGGTGGTGTTCAATTACTGTATTTTATACTGACTGTTCTATTTCTTCTCTCTTTTTCTCTCTCCATATTCCACCTTCTTTCTTTCTCTTTTCCTTTTCTTTCTTTCTTTCTTTCTTTCTTTCTCTCTCTCTTTCTGTCTATCTATCTATTTATCTATCTATCTATCTATCTATCTATCTATCTATCTATCTATCTATCTATCTATTTATCTCTTTCCCTATTCCCCTTTCTCTTTTCCTATTCCTCTTTCTTTCTTTCTCCTTCCTATTCCTCTTTCTTTCTCTTTTCGTATTTTCCTTCCTTCCTTCCTTCCTTCCTTCCTTCCTTCCTTCCTTCCTTCCTTCCTTTCTTTCTTTCTTTCTTTCTTTCTTTCTCTTTTTTATTCCTCTTTCCCTTCCTTCCTTCCTTATCTTTCTTCTTAACTGGGCTATCTTATCCTCATCTATCAATAGGGGATTCCTCAAGCTGTACTCCCCCCATTACCAAAGAGGCCTGCGCTTGAAAAAACCAATGGTGCCACTGCAGTCTTTAATACTGGTATTTTCCAATATCAGCAAGCTCTTGCAAACATGCAGTTGCAACAGCATACAGCCTTCCTTCCACCAGGTACGTGGCATTTTCCATATCCTTTGAAAAAGACCCCAGTGAGGTCGTTAGAATAATTTCCCATGGGTTAGCTAGGCTTTTCATTCTTAAGTATGATAAAAAGATGGCACGGGATGGGTAACATGCAAGGATGCCCAAAGAGACAATCTTGCTGCTAAACTGCAAATTCTGCATATATTTTCTTGGAAGCAAGGTGTTGGGTGCTTTTCAGCATAATCTGAAAATCTGCATCTCTGAAGTGTGCAATCATGTTTCAAAACAGCATTTGAAATCTTTTTTCTCTCTTCTCTAATCCTTCATTTTACACCTCTTATGTTGTTTTATACACACACATATATTTAACTGATGTAAGACCCCTTTGCTCAAGTGAGTATAACATGCATAGCCCAGTGAGAATAATATTTTCCACATGCTGAATTGTGCTAGAAAAGTACTTAGTCGTGAAATATTGTTATATTATTATTTATTTTTCTTTACTGACTATAATTCAAACTTTTGTCTTCAACTAAAATGCAAGATAAGCTTTGGAATAATAAATTAGTTTTACATCTTTTGAAATCAGGGTGAACATTATAGTGATGGAGTTTCATTTTTCACTGATTAATCAACAAAGGGGTCCTACACAAGTATCTTTTTCATTCCTGCAAGTTAAAGCACAACAGATTTTCATTGCTATCTTATGTTCATTTGCTAAACATTCTATGCAAAAGTGTGTGTTGGTTTCAGACATGAAGAAGGAGGATGACTGAAATTTAAAACTGAAAATATATTAGTTTTGTAGTTTGAACATGATGGTCAACTAAAATGATCTTTATATTTTTGCATGGGTACCATAATTAGTTGTATGGATTATGAATAACAATAATAATAACAAAAGTAGTAATAACAAAATAACAGTGACACCTCTGTCCCAAGAATTAAATGAATTACCGTAATGCATATTATTTGAATTTTTAAAATTATTACTTCAAATTTAAAGTCCACTTTGAATATCAAGACTCAGTCTAGCAACATTGATACTTAAATGTTAGATAACTAGGTAAGGTTATATTGGTTGACAATGTTCAAATAGTCATAGCCATAATTTTTAATATCTATTTAATTGAATTTTCTTACGTGTATAAGAATTCTAGAGGGGGGAAATCTATAGAAAAAAATACATAGCATTTTGTCTAATTGATTTTATTTTCAGGAAATATTTTTTTAAAATATGGCTGCTTCCAGATGTGTTAGGAGTACAACATGAGCAATTCTGAGTCTCTATTGCTCTGAAAATTTTGGGAATTAAATCCTAATATATCTGGGAACAACTAGAATGGGGGAAAATTGAGCTAATGCTTTGATCAGATATTTCCTTGCAATAACAGGACTCATCTAAATGTACTAAATTAGTTAAAGCAGCTTCAAACTATGTTTATTTGGTAATTGATTTATGAATTTCTAGATTGCCTAACTCCAGAATGATTCTGGGTAGCTTCACAAGTAAGAATCATTGTCAAAGGACAACATAACAACTACCTCATTGCCCACAAATCAAAGGGTCATGTCCAAGCACTCTGACCCAAAGCCTGGAGGAATAAAAACAACAAATTTTTAAAGCTCATGAAGCAGGGATAGTGGCAGCCATATGAATCTCCATGGGGATGCTGTTCTGAATAATAAATGTTGTGACAGATGAAGCCCTCTTCCTGAGTCCTGTTAGATGCCATCACTTAGCTGATGGGACTCCAAGCAAACCAGAATACAGGACAGGCCAATACTATAGGAGCCAAGCAATCCCCCTTAGCTGGCCCTAGAGCATTAAAGGTAATCAGCACTTTAATTTGCTCTCAGAAGCCAGCTGGAAACCATTGCAGTTCACATAGCAAGATGACACATGGGAATAGCAAACTGCTTCATTGTGAACCAAATACACCTCCTGAGTGGTCTTCAAGAGCAACATCTGCAGAGTGTTACAGTAGAGGTGTTCTGGAAGATAACCAAGCCATGAATGACTGTAAAGAAAATTGATGTCAGTCTTAGTAGGTAGACCAGAGTGGAAACACAACCAAATGAGCTTTTTCTACTCTATTATAAAGCTACATTAACAGAACATTGCAAGTCTGAAAATACAAGTCTCATTTACAGCCTAAGAAATTAGGAAGGGCCTCTTCTGAGCCTCTTCCCCTACCCTCTATCTAGCTACTATCGCTTATATGACTGTTTCCTTGGTAGCATTTCTTGGCCCAGTTTCCCAAGGTCTTTCATATATAGCATTACAAAGGAAGACCTCTTAATCTTGGCGCATACATTGAGCTTGTTGCATGCAATTTCCTTCCTGGCTCAGCAGGACCTGGAATTTCAGGAAACTTCCAGATAGTGTTCCAGCCACAAATGGGCCAATACAACCCCAGTCACAGTCAAAGATTAAAAGTTCCCTAGAACTGGAAGGAGAACCTTCCTCTTTCATAATCACTTAGTATTTCTAGGGTTAAATCTGAACCTATTGGTTTTCAAACAGATCCCAACAACTCTTAGGCAGTGAAACAAGATCTTGATAGCTGTTAGTTGTTTAGGACAGGGGTCCCCAACTCCCAGTCTGTGGACTGGTAACGGTCCGCGGCATGCCAGCAACCGGTCCGCACAAACAAGCAAAGCCCCATCTATGGGATGCAGGCAGCACACAAAACCACACACTCTCTGGTCCGCGGAAAAACCTTTCTCCACGGAACCGGTCCCTGGTGCCCAAAAGGTTGCGGACCTCTGGTCTAGGAGACAAAGATACACATCTCTTACCATTAATATACTGATTATACGTGTCCCTGAACTGTCTCATGTAGATATTACACAGGAGAGGTGAAAACATCAAGCCTGAGGCATCCTGCAAATCAGAGCCAGACATTCATTCATATATGGTTTAGTGTTATGTATTAACCAGCCTTCAAACGTAGTAACATATCTAGATTTACCAAACCTCCACCTGAAGCTTAAACATATGCCAGTTAGAAAGCAAAGCTTAATGTGGCACTACTACAGTGTTGCTTTTTTCTGCATCCACATTAGTCATGAATTAGCATATAAAACGTACCTGTAAATCAAACTTAATATAAAACAATATATGAGTAAGTGTCAAAATTGGACAACTGAAACCTCTCCTTACGTTATTAGAGTCTACTTTTAACTTAGTAGTTCATTTTAATCAAAATACCAACACACAGTTCAGTCTGCTTTCTCCTTGCCCTGCTCATGTAAGTCTAGTTCTAATTACCACCACCTTGCTGTTTGATTTGATTGTGCTATTGGTTACATGCCACTGTTTTCCCATAATAACCAATTTTTCCTTCTTTGTTCAAATGAGATTTTCCTAATTACACGTGTGATGGGTTGTTTTAATTCTTTTCCCTTTGCAAATCCACCTTCCTGTTGCAATGCATGATGGGCAGGCTCAATATTGTGCATGACACCCGCTACAAGTGTTGGTAGGTGCCAGCTTTGTTTCTTGATTATCTTAAACCTGTTTAGCAGCTCACAGACTTTCAAAATCCACTACTAGGTTTTAACTTAGAGTTACTGTGCAAAATCATTTTTCTTCCCTTGCACTAACACTTGTCAATTAAATGCATTTGCTTTATTTAATTGACACAATTTACTTAGAAGCCATTTACTTCCTACCATTATCAAGTTGTTCTGTGCCACATTTTCCCCGTCCCTTTTTATCAGCTCTGGTGGATTTTGACTGGACTTTGAGTTCCAGTGTTTTAGAAAATTATTTTGTGTTTAAAACAGAAAAAGCTAGTTACACATTTTATGCAAGAAATGCAGAATTAGAGTTTTATTTCAGCAGATTCTAATAATATCAGAAGTTATAATGGGAGGGATTGGGAATATGGTTATCCTAAGATTTTCAAACTATTAAAGAGAGTGCTGTTTGTAGTTTCTTGGGTCTAAAATGAAATAGTTGAACTTTATTGTATTGACTTTGGTGATTCAGTGGTAATGAGCATTTTTCCCTTCCCTTTTCTCCTTTCCTTTTGTCTTTTACCTTGTCTTCCACCCCGCTCTCTGGAATGCTGCCCTGCTTTGCGCTGTGGTTGCATGTCCTTTTCGCTGGTGGCGGTACCTCGCCCCATGGCTATTCTGCTGATATAAATACCATACTCTACCATTTTACCACCTCTTGCCATGGTTTCCCATACTGCTTCACTCTTCTGTATGTTTGCTTATATGGTTTTCCTTCCAAAAGTTCCCATGGTGCACGGCGCTACGCCCGCCACTGTGTCTGCAGCAACAACATCTGCCACAAGCGTCCCCTTCGCTGCAACTGCCACAGCCAACCAGGTTTGCTAATTTACAGCTTTGTTTCTTAAACATAACTCAGAATCGGTGCTTTTAAGGAGCATGGGGATTTCTTTTATTTTGTTTTTTTGGTTTGTTTGGTTGTGGTTTTTTTGTTGTTATTTTGTTCGTTGGTTTATACTTCTTGTTGGCCTACACATTCTCTTTAGATCTGCAGCATAGCTTAATTGGGCTTTTCTCCCTGCTCTCCAGTAATAAGACTTTCCTGAATTGATCAACATGTGACAGATCTTATGCCTCCCACTTCCACGTTCACTGTTACAAGAACAGATGTATAGAAAGAAAAGATGAGGATATAAGATCACATTTTTTTTTTCTATGTAGAATAGTTAACTTTTTTCAAGCCAAGGCAATATCTAACCTAGGAATGGCAAATTGGTGAAGGAAAGGGTAGGCAGACTCAGAAGAAAGAAATGGGCAGAGCCAAGAAAAAAAAATTAATTTGATTTAATTTAATAAAGATTTAATTTAAATTAAATTAAATAGCTATACACACAGACATTTATATACATACATACATAGTCATATACATATGCATAAATACATTCTGTACATACACTTTGTATTAAAATTATATTTCATCGGCAATTTTTGGAGGCTGTTCTAGAGTCAATGGTAAAACAAGCTTGATATAACACAAAGCACCAAAGGATGTTATAAGTGTATGCTGTATACTTAAGCTACAAATGCCATCCCTTTAAAGTAGCTCAATATTATTTTCTCCAAAATGATAGCCAAAGCAGAAAGCCTCTAGCTTGGCTGAGGTCATCAGAGAAACACATGACAAGAAAGTAAATAAATATTTGAGAACAGTCTTCCTACATGCTGTTCTCCAGATTGCATAAATGCTGGGTGGTGATGATAGAGTTGTTGAACTTAACTAGAAGGCACTATGTTTTGGAATTCTGAATGCTGCTATTATCCACTTAGTAGGCCAGATCTCAAATTTACAACTCTTTAATTTTAAGCTTCCAGAGCATTAAAGTTAATATACTAGAATCTTTGAACTTGAGGAGCTAAAATGATATTCTACTTTATACACGTACAAGAAATCAATATTCTACTTCATATGATATTCTACTTTATACCACGTACAAGAAATCAATAACTGAATGAGTAGGAATCTCTAATCATCCTACTGTTGACATAATGCCCAGCATCCCCAATCATGGTCATGCTGGCTATAGCTGCTGGCCGCTGTATTTAAGTAGTATTTTGGGGTCCTGTAGTTCCCCATCTTCATCTAACCAATACCAGGCAGTGAGGAAAAATTTGATACCATTAACATCTATTTCCTTAAAAATCAGGGTGGGTGGGTGGGAATCATGCTTAAGTGAATTAATTTCCAAATTTTATCTCCAAAAGGAGAATTGGAGTTAAATGATAGATGAATGTATTTACAAAGTCAGGTTGATAAAATTAATATAAAGATTCTGAACTTGACATAACCTATAAAAGAAGAAAATTTGTGAAAATTCTACTGGGTGTATTCCTACTATACCTTAGGACCATTCTAGATATTGAACTAGTTTTCAAGTCAGAATAAGCCAGCGTATTAGTTCTTGGTTGGCTTCTTTCATCAACAAAGCAGCAAACAAGCAAGAAAAGTTTCATCTTTCTCGGTTTATTAAGTGGTACATCTGAACACAGGTCCCTGGTTTACTTGCTTACAAATGTAAGGAATGCAAGCTAAGAAAAAAAGTTCCTCGATGACAAAGAAGATAATTATTCAGATGCACCACTGAAAGAGTACAAAGAGAGAAAAGCTTTCTCTGTGTGTTTTTTTAAGCACACTGCCACCTGATAAGAACTATATGAGAATTTTCAAGCTCAGTCCTAAAATCATAATATATAAGTAGTTTCTTCGTTCCCTTTATGTATGGGAAAAGGCATGGTCTATTAAAATGTCATAAAACATTGTAGTGCCCACTCACCCCCTCATAAAAGGTTTCAATTTCATTTTCAGAATTCTGCTGGAAAATAGGAAAGACAATCCACAAACAAGTAAAAGTAATCCCATCGGCATCCTAACTTGGCCAGATTGCTTGTTATGATCTTATTACACATTTTTGCTTATGACCCAGGATAGCTTACATCTCACACTATAATACAAGTTTCTTGGCCCAAACTGGCACCCTAAGATGTTTTGGGACATCAATACTGAGCAGGAATTTGGGGGGACTGATTAATTGGATATAATTAGTCCTCAACTTACAAACACAACTGGAACTGGAATTTCCATCATAAGTCATTGTTCCATCATAAGTCCAATTGAATCCTATTTTACAACAACCTAGAACTAAGAAATTTTCTGACGGTTAGAACAATTAATCAGTTGAACAACCTGCCTCCAGAAGCTGTGAATGCTCCAACACTGGAGGTTTTTAAGAGGAAACTGGACAGCCATTTGTCTGAAATGGTATAGGGTTTCCTGCCTGAGCAGGGGGTTGGACTAGATGATCACCAAGGTCCCTTCCAACTACTACTACTACTACTACTACTATTATTATTATTATTATTATTATTATTATTATTATTATTATTATTATTATTATTATTATTATTATTATTATTGCACTTTAGTGAATTCAGCTTTTTCAATGAACTTTTTTTTTGCTGGAAATCAGCAAAAAAGGTCGTATGATCACATGACCTCGAGACACAGCCAGTTGTAAATGTGACCCAGTTACCAAGCACCCAAATTGTGAGCCAATGACCATAGGGAGTGGTGTGGTAATCATAAGTGCAAGTACAGGTTGTAGTCACTTTTTCTGAGGCCATTGAACCATTGTTAAATGAATCAAAGTTTTATCTTGATGGCTAAACAGTTGACGGAGAGCAACCATCAGATTGTCTTGTTTTCCTATATAAAGACCACTGTAGATATATCTACTTTCCATTTTAGATAAGTCAGGATAACCATTTTCCATTTTAGCTAAACCAAGATAACACGTTTTCACATTAATTGTGATTTTACATAATGCCAATAACAAAGGGGTCAAGGTAAAAGCACATTCCAGATATCTTTGAATAGTAAGATTTAAAAACAAAAGTGCTGTCTTCTTTATAGCAATTTGATGTTTAATTTACAGCAAAGAAAAGAGTGACTAGCATAGTATACAAAAGAGTCCTGGATGTATTCATTAGGCATTAATAATGAAAAGTTTAGCTATCAGACATGTTATTTTTCAGAGAGGAAAGAAAGAAGGGAGGGAAGGATGGAGGAAAATTCCTCTTTCCTTTTCCCCCCCATCTCTTTGTACAGATGATTCTGAATATTTTTTCCATATTCTTTCAAGGGCTTCTCCCACACAGATTCTCGAGGTTTTGTTTTTGTTGTACAATTTGATCATTTCATGCATATCTCTCTGGAACCTCATAATGCGCTCCAGTCAAGTTTTGTAGCCTATTCTTTATATATACATATATAAGCAATATATGTATATAATACATGAGCAATGCTGACATGATGCAGTGCCACAAAATGCAATGTTCATGCATGCGTAAGTACTTGAGATCTGGCCCCCTTCCTCTTTACTGACTGGCGCTGAAGCTCCTTGGTCTGTTTTGACAGCGATACTCTTGAAGCTTCTAGACAGCTGGATGCAACATATCTTTCTGCTGCAGTAGCAAACCAATGGTATGAGAAGCTTCATTACACTTGGGACACATTTATGTGCAAAAAGAGAATTTAGAAATGTATAGATTAGTCTTCCCCAATCTGGAACCTTTCAGATTTTGGGAGATTCCAATTCTTCTACTTGCTGGGGATTTGGGGAATTACACCCAGCATATCTGGACAATATTGGAGCCAAATTGGAGAAGGCTTCTATGGAATATAGTTAAAGAATATTAGGGATTGGGCTGAATTAGAGGATTTTGTTTACTTTTGGAACTTCTGTGCTCTAGTACTAGAAGCCAACAGGAAGTAAGTAAATCATGTAGTATACATTTGTATGAATGTTTTTTTTTTTTATCCTATCTGAACTTGTTTGACATTTAACTTTTTGATGCAAGTGCTTGTGAACAATTATCTGCTTAAGAAACTGAGGGCTTACATTTATTTCTATATTCAGGGGTTAAAATGAATATTATAATATCTCTTGGAGAAATCTGTGTGTGTGTCTGTGTCTGTGTATACACACACACATACAAGCAGGTATTATAATATTCATATATATATACAGTATATGCTGTTTTACAATGGAAAGATTTGCAATATAATCCATGCACTCCATTGAAATTGGAGGAAGAACATCTACTGCTTATAACAGATTCCCCTCAAGATCAATCACAGGAAATTAGCAAGGTAAAGTGCTTGCCTCCTGCACAAAGTACTTTCAGAACAGATCCATTTTGAAAGTAGTCAGCTCTTGATTAAATACAACCACCAAATAAAGCAATTTTTGTTGTTAAAAATGTTTGTTGGCAGTTGGGCAGGATGAAATTTAGAACTTCTGTTATGGTGACTGATATAATTGATGCTATTCTTTAAGTATTGTTACAGCAGGATTTTTCTTGATTGCTCTAATTACTAAACAGATAATTTATGCAACAAAAGAAACTGTTCTTATGGATACCCAAATATTTAGATTTTCTAACCAACCCCTAAAGAAAATGTGTAAAAAGTTATGTAGTTCAAGGTCCCGATGCTGTATTCTGCTGAGCCCTTCACTTGAATTTCCGTTCTTTTTAAACAGTCAATGACATCAGTTACTGTTATAATAATAATAATTTCAATTTTGCATTGAATATGCAAAATGGACAGGACAAGAGTTTGCTTCTGAAGCCAACTGTTAAAATCAGAAAACTGAAACAACCCTAGTTCTTATAATCTCTGTGTAGGCCAACAAAAAGGGTGTTTGAAATGACCGAACTGCATGAATGTTTAACTGTAAATGTATGTTTCTTTTAAACAGCCAAAAATGGTTGATCTCCTACTTAACTGAATGTTCTCATTTTAATTGCTAGCTATGTTTCTGTTAACATATATTACATAATACATAGCTCTGCAGTTTTTCATTTGATGTATTATTACATAAATTAAAGTTTATATTTTTAATAGATTCCCATAATATCTGCCGAACATCTGACTAGCCACAAGTATGTTACACAGATGTAGACACTTAATCATCAAACAGTAAGTATCTCAAATGCATACTATTGTATTTTGATACTTTTGAGAAGATTTGCATTCCATTGTCCTTGTACATGATTGTTGATTGTGTATATATCTTTGTGTTTCACTAGTTGGATGTCTGTTGTATTAAATTCTTCTATTAAATGTTTTCAAATTTAAATTTATCTTTTATATTTTCTATAAACTGCCAAGACTCAGGTTGAGTTCAGTAATACAAAAATACTTGTAACTAAGTAATATTAACAGTTGACATCTCAGAAAGTATAGGAGGTTAAAGTGTTGTTCCTTGATATTGTTTTATATGCTTACTCAAACATCAATACATCTGCATTTAAGTGGTAAATATATCTACATATGAGTTTAGCCCTAATTTTTTATGAACAGTTTTATGCAAATAAAGGAAATATATCCTTGATTCATCCATGCAATCTGAAAGAATATACTATGGAATTTGTTGACAAAGGAATTTTAAAAGAGCATTAGACAAATAGTGAGAATTTTGCTATTTATTCCTGCTGGTTACAAAAGTCATGTGATCCTCAATAATGTTTGCTAGCCAGCAACAGAAAATAGATATTTTATTCATGTCCTGCTCATAATGCAGGAAGGGAAAAAAAGCCATTTGATCTGATCAGGAGGGTTTCAAGGTTCCGATAGACAAGACCAAACAAATCAGAACTCCGAGGCTAGAAGTTTCCTTAAACAGGGTTACAAAGAGGGATTTTTTTTAATGTTCTTAAGTAATACTATTATGGAATGATTCTTTAAATTTTATTTTTAATTGGCCCAGTATCCAGAGTATATCAATAAGCATTCTGAAAGATTTTTTTAAACACTCATTGTAAAATTTTAATGCATGGGTAAAGGACATACCATAATGATCCATGATTGGTCATCATGTATATAGTCAGCCATGGCCCACGTGTCCCCATTACATTTTTATAGCAACATATGAAGAAATGGAATTCAGCAATGTTTTTTAATGAGAATATTACGTAGATGCTGCTGCAGTTAGTCACAAGTAATATAAAGTTCATATCTTCACTGTTAATTTAGTTTTAGCTGAGGGAAATAATCATAAACTCCTTCCTATTCAGAAGGATATTTTAAATTGATTTGATTATGTGTCTTGACTTTTAGCAACTATGTAAAATGACTTGTGTAGAATGATTTGTCCTCTCCTGGCCCTTCAGGTCTTTCAACATTCCCCCTGTATTTAATTGAGTCTATCTATCTTGCCGATGGCCTTTCTTCTATTTTCCCCAGCATTCTCAAGGGGACGTGGTCTTCACAAAGGGCTTTTACATATATGTTTATTTAAATAAGTGGCTTCTGACTGAATAATTCTGTTAGATTAAATCATTAATATACTACTTGTTTAAGATAATTTTTTTTAAAAAAATCTCCTTGTTTTTCTAGATCATATGACAGAGAAGAGGACAGCGTGGTTGAGTGAAGAATCAGGACAGGTCATTAGCCATAATGTATATACCGTAAAATAACAGCACCCAAATTTCCTCAGCAGTAAGACATCCACATATTGCATGTTAACAAGATGAAATGACAACTTGGAAATTCACTGCACACTGTTGCCTATATACTTTGTACATTGAATAGATATTTGTGCTGGGGTGATCATATTGTCTAAAACAACCTTCCTTAACTTGATGCCCTCCATTTGTGTTGATCTATAAATCCTGGAAGTTATAGACCCAAGAAAGCTAAAGGGCATCAAGTTGGAGAATGTTAGTGTAAAGACTACAGCATTGTCCATCTTTTCTAGCACACAAGTATGCAATGCATACCAAGCTGACGTATGCATTGGTAGACTCTTTTCCTACATAATCATGTACGTCATTTTGAAAAGACAGACTGTGATGTAGCCATAGATCTATAATGTATTGGTACGTCTGTAGACCAAGATATAATTTTTAAAGTAAGTTTATTATCTCAAGGTTTACAAATAACAAAAGGTGCACCTTGTATTTAAAATTGCCATTATAGAAGAGACCGTGCATGCACAGTATAATTTTTTCCTTTTTTGTTTTAAGAGTAATATTTTTAAATGTAATAGATTGTAAGAAGTGGTAAAAGAGGTATCTGACAGAGATGAATGTGCCAAGTAAAACCACAACTGTGTATATTTTTAAAGCACATCAATGGCTTTAAGTACCGTGTTGTTAAAGATTTTCATGAAGTGCCATAGACTGTAATCAAAGTAGAGTATTATTTCTTCAGTGTTACTTTAAGAGCCACATTTTTGCTTGTTTTGCTAGTAGGTAATCAGTCAAAGGGCACCCTTCCGTTTCAAACCAAAGCTGTCTCAGAAATGGCCACCTCAGTTAATAATAGACAGCACATTTTTTGTTATTTTTTTTAAAGCAAAAACAAGAGTGGATATATATGGATCATTCCTACACATACTGGATATATAAACCTATAAATTATTATAAACCATTATAGTTGCAATAGTTTTTGCAAAGTATACTGTATAACAAACAATATTTTAAAAAGGGAAGAGCCATTTCTGAGACAATATTAGAAAAAGTCTAAATAATTTTATTTTGCTTCAATTTTCTAACCTCTGTCAAAAGTCCAAGAGACTCTAAATGTGTTGAAGGAGATGGGTTTTGCTTTTCTGATCCAATGCATCACTTCAAAGTCACACACTTAAAAAAATAGTGACTCTAATCATGGGAAAAGCACTGACATCAGATGCCTGATTAAAAAGAAAACCAAAATAATCAACAATCAATGAAAATGTTAATTAGAGTAGGCGCTGGGTGGGTTAAATATCGGGTGAGTTTTATATGTGATTTCTTCTGTTGAGATTTAACTGCTTTATAGCCTTAGAAAGCCTTTACAAATTGAAACAAAAATAGATGTGCATTCAAGTTTTTAAGATGGATTCATCCAAAGGAAATCCTTTGTGTGGTTTGGATGTTGCAGTTAGTAAAGGATATATTTTGCTCTGTTCAGCAAAGCTCAAGGTGGGGGCCAGGTCTCTGGTAGCGTCGCGTAGAATGGGAGAGGTGAGGGTTCGGTTCTAGAATTCTCCATACTTCCAAGTTTACTTGCAAGTTTTTATGCTTGAGAGATGCTTTCTAGTTAAAAAAAAAAAAAAGAATGATGTGTTGATTTTACTGATTGTACTGTACATCTATTAAAGCCTTAGATTATTACATTACGGGTTAAAACCCATACCAATGTAATTTCAATCGTGTTAAGAAAGTATAGGTGACTTCACATGTTATTGTAGTTTACTTACATTTAGAGAATATGACTTATTTTTCCTTGTTAAAATGGTAGTTTTTATTTCGTACATTTATTAGATCATTTTCATTTTCTATTACCAGATGAATGCCATTTAAGTTTATAGAATTTTGTTTTATTAGATTTTACTGATGAATTTTTTTCAAAATATGAAAAAAAATTAAAAATATTTTTTCTTCATAGCATATGCAGTTTTGAATTTACATGTAGTGTCATGAATATTCGTATTCTTGTTAACTAAATGATTTATATTTTACTGATTTAATATTACAATGTAAGAATATCAGTCATTGTTAGTTCTTGTCTAGTTTTCATTAAAAGAACAAAGATCTTTTATATGGATATCTTATATAATCATTGTTAAGTAAGAAGTTAAGTTGTTGCTAATGAAATGATCCTGGCAGACAACTGAGTAATATTTTGATGATTTATTTTGTTTGTAATTAATTATAAAAGAAAAAATCTAGTTCTTAGATATTAGAATAAAATTTATTTTCTACTGTATCCATTTCAAATGTTAAAATATTGTTTAAATATTTTTTGAAATCCCTGAATATCAGGCCTTCTTATAAATAAGCTGCATAATCAGTAGATCAAGGGACTTTTTGTTGATAATCCAAATACTCAAAAAGTTTACGTATAACAAGAATTATAATAAGTGTGAGTGCTTGTGCATACTCTTGAGGGATGATTATGCTGCAATTTAGCATGTGGGAAAGTATAGAGAGAAGGTTGACCTTTTGCACTTCTGTATATAGTCAAATAAAAATAAAGAGAGAAACCTGTATAATAGTAAGATCTTATTTTGAATAAAAATGTCTATAAATACAAGGAGTTTTGTTAAGGCTTATAAAAATGACAGGCTGAACAAAATTGCTTGCAAAAAAGTGGCACAGAATTAGCACTCCATACCCCTTTGAAAAAGTGGCTTTGCTTTATGTGAACAGCTTCTAGTTTGCCAGGATTCTTTCAGCTGGAAAGATTGGCCATCCTTCTCATGACTAACAAAAGCTGCACTGGTCTAAATCTGCCTGAAGATAATTTCTGATGAGACAAGAAAAATAAAAATTATTTTTTTAAAAATGAAATTTCAGAAAAACAGGTACTTCCAACCATTAAAGGTAAATCATGGATCTAATATGTCTTACATTACTCAAAACAACTACTGCATGTTTCAAGTATCAAGGAGAGAGAGAAAGAGAAAGAAAATATAAATAGATATAAAATATATATTCTATTCAAACCAGTTTCTGAAAAAATTCAGTAGTTTTATTATTCACACACTAGCGTAAACACACACATACACAGAGAAAGCGATATTGACTTTCACATGCACACTAAAGAAGTTTAAAAATGTCAACAGGCAAACCAAAACAAAACCATCATAGCTGTAGTTGTTATGTAATTATTTTTATTGCTGTAGTGATCCGGTTCTTTTAGCAGGTGAAAAACAAATACTCTTTCAAATTTACCATTTTTAACCTAAAGCACTTGACAAACCATGTACTACATGAAGCCAAAGTGAGGGGGGAGGGAACCAATGATTGGATCTATTCTGTCTCATAATTCATATTGATGAATTAGTACATGTTGCACTTCCTTGCAACCCTATAACTTTCATCTGCTGAAAGGACAGGTGTGCTTGGTTTTTACTATTATGTAATCACAGACTTAAATTTGCTTGGTAGTTGCTCCTACTTATGTACTCTGTCCTGGGCTGCAATTTGTTTTTAAGCTTATTTTATTATTACTGCTATAGCTGTATGAAAAAAAAAATAAAGTTAAATTGCCCTAATAAAATTTCTTTTAATTATCTTTTTTTCTGTTTTCAAGTTTGGGAAAAGAGAGTTTCTTTACTGTCATTCTCATTTGTGGTTGGGGCAAGGGAGGGCACCATCTCTATTGGTACAGCTCACTGTAAAGGCTGATGTCTAGGTTTTGGTATAGGCGTCTACAAATATGATGTTAACACTCACATAGTGAAGAACCACACATATCTCTCAATTACTCACTAGTCAATTCTGTTTCTCTCTGAGTAGGACTGAGTTCACTGGCAAGTTCATTATTACTCATGATCTGTGTTGCAATATCCTTGTGTGAACCCAAGGGTATGAACTGATCTTGAGACCTATGGAGGTGATACAGGAGCTCTAGTGAACTCATGAATGTTCATAAAATATTGCCATAAAATTGTGGTCTCTTAGTTCTGTTGAACTTTAAACACAGATGATAACGTGAATTATTTATTACTAGACAATCTGTGACCCATTGGGTCATGGTTTCAGAGACATTTCCTTACCCTTAACAGAGAAACACAGTGACCATAAATGGGTAAAAAAACCACTGGGATCAGGAGTGACTTCAGACGTCTTGCCAATTTCCTCATTGACTTTCATTGTAGGAGGTGGTAGAGAGTGTTGGAAATGATCATATGACCACAATTTTGCCAAATTTCAAACTATAGGAGTTGTGGGTCCTAGATTTTGGACATATTCTGTAAGCCCATCTGAGGTACATAGATTCAAAAATTGTTACCCTATGAATCTTGAACCATGAGATAGATAGATAGATAGATAGATAGATAGACAGACAGACAGACAGACAGACAGACAGACAGACAGACAGACAGACAGACAGACAGACAGACAGACAGACAGACAGACAGACAGACAGACAGACAGACAGACACAGACAGACAGACAGACAGACATGATGCACCATTCCATCCAATTGAAGGTTGGAAACAAGAGTTTTAACACTCTGTAAGTTCTTTTATACCTGTAGTGCTTCATCTGTAGATAAAGTAAAGGAAAAAGAGAACATTTGATGCAAACAGCTACTTCAAGTTTTAAACAGTCTCAAAGTTTTCAACAATTTCTTTTTATGAGACTCCCCCCAACTTCAGATTTCAAACCATTTTGATTTATCTCTATTTCTTTCTATTACATGCTTCTGGTGAATAAAAGAATAAATACCACTTTTCTTGGGTAAAAGGGAAGAACCAGGTAGGATCCAGTGTTAGCAAGCATAAACCCATTTGCTCAATAGAACATATTTGTTCTGCTCTATGGTTCTCCTTGAAACCTCAAAATCTACTGAGTCCTCATTAGATTTTGAGAGTGCTCAAAAGCAATAGGTAAAAGTGAAATCACTCCTTTCTGGTTCTTCTACTAGAAAAGGTTAATGTGCTGCTTCTTTATAAGCCCTGCATATGAGTTAACCTGTGGCTATATTCTCATAATAGATAACAGGTGAACTATTATGTAAGTACAAATAGTCCTCAACGTACGACCACAATTGACCCCCAAATTTCCAGTTTTTAAGGGGTTTTTGCCCAAACTTAGATTTCTTGACTTATTGTTAAGTGAATCACTGCAGGTATTCAAGTTAGTAACACTGTTGCAAATTGAATCTGACTTCTTCCCCCCTTGACTTTGCCCGCCAGAAATTGCAAAAGGTGATCACATGGCCCTGGGACATTGCAACCTTCATAAATATGAGCTAGTTGCCAAGTGTCTGAATTTTGATCATGTGACTAAGGGGATGTTGCAATGATCATAAGTGAGAAAAGTGGTCATAAGTTTCAATTTACAGTGTTATAACTTTGAACGGTCACTAAATGAAAGGCAGTAAGTCAAGGACTACCTGTACAGGTGGTCCTTAACTTACCACAATTGAACCGCAAATTTCTGTTGTTAAGTGAGACATTTGTTAAGTGAGTTTTGTTCCATTTTACAACATTTCTTGCCACAGTTGTTAAATGAATCACTGCAGTTGATAAGTTATGGTTGTTAAAGTGAATCTGGCTTCCCCATTGATTTTGCTTATCAAAGGGTTGCAAAAGGTGATCACATGACCTTGGGATACAGCAGCGATCATAAGTATGAACCAGTTGCCAAACATCTGGATTTTGATCATATGATAATGGGAATGCTGCAAAAGTCATAACTGAAAAACAGTCATAAATCACTTTTTTCAGTGCCATTTGCTATTTTGAACGGTCATTAAATGAACTGATAAGTCAAAGATAAGTTACCAGATACGTTAAATGGCTCATTGCTATCTCCCTTTCATCCAGTCTGCACCCAGTATTTACAAATAACCACTGTACCACTGCTTCACTAACAACTATATGCACGCATGCACACAAACAATGTTAAATAACAACTGTAGGAATCAGTCTATACACCTCTTCATATATTACTTTTTGTACTTTTCACCTTGTTTTGTTGATATTATTCTGAACCTGACCCAGCCATGATTTTCTTAGACTTCCTCTAAAGCAGTTCGATTTTCCTTCATATACAGACAGTTCTTACTTAATATCCACTCATTCAGCAACCGTTTAAAGTTACAATGTTGCTGAACAATGGGCACTTACAATGAGTCCTCATCATGGTGACTGTCATAGTATCCCTGCAGTCACATGATCATAATTCAAGTACTTGGCAGTGTTCTACAGTCATGTAATCGCCATTTGCAACCTTCACAGCTGGCTTCCAACAAGCAAAGTCAACGGGCAGCCTACAGGAGGTCTCAAATTATAATCATGTGACTACAGAGCACTGTGAGATTTGCCTAACAATGACAACTGGAACTGGCAGAACAGCTGTTTTAAGTTGGCATGATCACATGACATCACACCTTACATTGGAGTCACCAGTCTCAATTACTGTCAGTAAATAAGAACTACCTATATTTGTTTTTCAAGTCAATCATTTCTATAGCATTAAAACTACCTCAATTTTCAGACTAATTACTCACTTTTGTATTCAATTCACATTCATCATCCATTTAGTCTTGATGCTTCCTCTTCTTTTATGATGCACAAATAATAGCTATCTCATTCTTACTTGATTCAGGTTTTATGTTTCTTCTGCCATTTTTCATAGTGATAAAATGGGAAAGAATGCTGTTAATATGCAGTCATTTTCACATGTTTTTGAATACTAATATATGTTTTAATTCTAATCTTCAACATATCACTAATATACATACATACATACACACATACATACATACATACATACATACATACATACATACATACACATACAGATCTAAAATACTCCTTCCTATGTTACCTGACTTCACTTCCATCTTAAATTTCTTTAATTTTAATTCTGTTTGCTCCTGGAGGCTCCTCTTCATCCACTAGATTGAGAAGTCTTTTTAAAAAGCTAAAATCCTGAAGAAAATGACAAATCACTTCCTTGCCAAGTTGAAAGCAACCATTAAGTCTTCAAATATTGAGACTAGCTTGAAGTTTTTACCCGAATTAAGGTAAAATAAAAGATGGCCATCTTTCATTGAGCTTATTGTGCTATGAGCCATGTGTGACAATATCCAAATAGTGCATCAATCAATTGTTTAGCTTTACTGAGCTTTAGAATTTATATTTGCTTTAACTATAGAAGTAATCTGGCTTTAAAACCAGAATGGCAAGCCATAAAACCAACCTGTGCCCTTTGAACGAATTCCCCTTAAGATTTCATGGCTCTCACCCTTTTCGAGAAAGCTTTAAAGACTTGGCTTTTTCAATTGGCCCTAAGACAGTGGTGGCGAACCTATGGCACGGGTGCCAGAGGCGGCACTCAGAGCCCTCTGTGGGCACGCGCGCTGTCGCCCCAGTCCTAGGCCTTCAGCTGGGTTTTATAAAACCTTTTCGCTTTAGGCCTCCGCCGCCGTGTGCAAAAAAAAAAGAAGGTTCAATCAGTCAATTTCAACTTCTCGTGGGAAAAAAAAAGATCTTGCAAAGTTGAAATTGATTGATCGAACTTTTTAGTCCCACTCAGTCTGCCGTTACCACCGCAGCCATGTCCACCCAATGGGCCACACCCACTCGGCACTCGACGATGCATAAGTGGGTTTTGTGTTGCAGTTTGGGCACTCGGTCTTTAAAAGGTTTGTCATCACTGCCCTAAGACATGATAAATTGTGATCCTACTTGGAGGTTTCTGTTTTACCATTTTTGTCACCCAGCCCTCTTTCCCCCCCCCCCAGATGTGAGTGATTTATATTTTTCTTAGTGATAGCTATGTTTATGTCTGTTTTAAATTGTTTCCTGCCTTTGTATATCATCATATATTGTTTCAGCAATTAAGGCAGCTGATAAACAAACAATACACTATAAACAATTTATTCTTGTTCCCATGATAACAGAATTGTGTGCTAATATTATTTATTTC